TAGACTCGGGTTTACTGGAGGTTATATCCCCTCCCGCTTCCTATTACCCAAATATGTCGTCCATAAGGCAGACATTAGGCGATCCCATCGATAGAGTCCGCTGGAGGTCCAAACAAAACCTCGATTTCGGTCTGTTTTTTGCCGCACATTTGGCTTTGAATGTGATTCTTATGCTATTGTTTGCGTTCTGTAGGGTATCTAATGATGTATTGCCAGCCAAAGGGTACATATTATGTACAATTAGAGGACGACATACTCACAAAACCGGCGTATTTAACAAAAATGAAAAACTTTGCGGTAAAGGCATCGCTTCAGAAGAAGGAATGGCTTATTCTGGACTTCTGTTCGCTTGGATTTATTGGTTCATAATTTTTAATTATATTTTACTTTTATTTCTATTTATAGCTTCAAATTTATTTGACTTTTTGTTAATTAAATATTTATTACATGTTAAGCCCTTATCCTAAGATAAAAGTTAATTAATTTTTAATTAATTTTTTGTGTAAACAATAACAGTAAGCAGTTCTCTATATAAGTGAAGTTTTTTGTGATTACTTTTTTAAATTAGTTTTTTAATTAACTTTTCCTAAGTATTTGTTATATATATTTCGAAATCTAATATATTTTTGCATTTGTATTGTTTTGATAAATAGGCAAAATGTTTAAATCTGTAGACCTATCGATGTTTATAATATTTTTCGTCATCTTTCATAACGACAAACCCGTGGACTGGCTGTTGGAGCACTTAATACAAACCAAATTGTGTCGATTCGACAGAGATCTCAAAGACTGTAAGAAACAGAAGGACTTGGTTTGGCTGCACCACAAGCCCTCCCTATTCCAGCACATCGGCACCCATTCCAGTCTTAAGGGCAAAGTCCAGAAACTAAGGGACAGAGGCTTTGGAAAGCTGTCCCTATATTATGCACATAAAGACAATCCGATGGCTATTGTCTCGACCACTTTGAAGCACTATAAGAGTCACTCAATAGAGCGGTGCTATTTTGGCGATACATTCTTCTGGGGGATGACACCCAAAGCCGGCGATAATATTACGTTTACTTTTGATCCTCCCATCCCTCTCGAGAGGTATTCATTACACTGTTTTCACATTATTGTTATTGTTATTTGCTTTTGTTGTTATGATTTCCATTGATTCACTCTATCGGTCTATTGTATAAAATACAAGATTATTGTTTAGATCTCTATTAATACAGTATTCAATTCAATAGTAAATTATACCCTTTTTGTGACTATTTTATGAATTGATCTCAAGTTATAAGTATAATACTATATAATAAGAATTAAATTCTTAAACCAAGAGAAGATTGTTAGTTATTATTATTGTTACCCAAAGCAAAGGTTTGGCATTTCATTGATATTTTGATGATATTTGTAATTTTGTTTGGAATCTCCTTTTGAAACAATTTTTGATTAGATTTTCATAAAAATCACATTACTATTTGAGATGTATTTACCGGTATAGCTGGAAAATACTTTATAGTAATAGCCATTATTGTGATTTTGATTTTGGAGTAAATGATGTATCGTATGGACAGGTATTTCTTCCGGACGGCTAATAGTGAACATCCAGAGGACAAACTCATTGACGCCACAGTAGAAGTGCTGCCGTTGTATACAGTCTCGAAAATACCAAACCATTTGTCCGTCACGTCTGACGGCTATTACGTGATCGGAGGCTTCAGAATCATGAAGGGAATGGCCAATGGGTTCGTACCACACGTTCTCAGTCCTGTCAAACAGCTGAGGATCAGTATTACTGCCGATTCTGATCGATGGCTTATTATTAATGAGGTATTTGTTGTTTGTTTTCCACTTTTGGCGTTATTTTCTCTTTCTATTTTCAGTTTCCTATTAATCATTTCTATTGTTATTTTCATTACATTTCTGTCAATCTATTGGTTTTTTATTCATGATTTTGGCTCATTTTTTCATTTTGACTTTTTTTTGTTGCAGATTTTAATCAAAACATTCAAAGACGAAATCGAGACTCTAATGAAGTGATGAAAATGTTTTTTGTCTGTTATTTATAGCAAACGAATTGTTTTCTATTGTTTGGTATTATTAGCGAACAACTTTTTCAGTTAATTTATGAATAGTTAATTTACATGATTGTGAAGTCAAATTAAAATACACAATTTATTGTTTTTCCTGAATTTTTGTGCCTTTGAATTGTTACCAATTTTTATAGAAATAGTTTAGGTATTATTAAATGAATTGTTTTTATTAGACTTTAAATGCATTTGAATCTCTATTTTGAATTTTGTTTATTACATGACACGTTAGTTACTTGACTTTTCATTTTTATTTGTTATCTCAATTTGAAACACATTTTGAAAATCAAAAACACAATATACTATTATATGTTTCTTTTAATAAAAGAGTTTTTTGTTATAACTTTTGTTTGTGTAAAATGTACAGAATTTTGTCAAAACGTGTGCCAATACTTTTTGGATGAATTAATATATTGAATACATTTTTCATTAACATTCGCTGCAATTGATATATTAATATTAGAGATGAATTTGATTATACAATATTTATTGTTACATTT